CAATAACAGTAACAGCAGCAGCACCACCAGTTAATGCTTATATAGTGCTAACATGTCCCGGGTACTATTCTCAGTGCTGAAGATATTTTAGCTCATTTCATCGCTTTCCAACACTATGAGGTAGGTATGTTATTCCTCCAGTTTATAGATGAAGGAACTGAGATACGCAGATTTACATCTGTAACATGTAAGATGTGTAAGTAGCATCTTGTACAAGGACACTGAGCCCAGGAAGTTTGGCTCTAGACTAGACTATACTACAGTCCTACAGTGACGGCCACAGAAGCACACTGCTCAGCTATCCCTTAAGATACTGCACAGTTTATCTCCAGAAGTGCAGTTATCCTCCAGCCATTACTGCCTTTAAGATTCCCGTCATTTTTCAAAATCAAGCCCTTTCTCCCCAGGCAGCCTCTGGTCAATCACTGAGCACAAGGGAGTTCTAGGGTCGACTCGTTTCTGCCCAACCCAGTACTACTCTCCTAAGAGGCCATCTTTGTCTAGAGTGCCCAGCCACCTGGCTGAGTCTGATGGAGCTGGGTCATGATCCGCCCCCATTCCCCGTGTTTCATCTTCTGCCCCCTTGTCTTCCACACGCACCAACCCTCAAACACTGCTTGCAATTCTAACTCCACATCAGCGTCAGCTTTCCAGAGGACCCAACTGCCTTTCTAACAAAATTTAAAGTGCATACAACCTTTTGCAGTAATTTCCTTTTTATGTATGTAATCCAGAGAACATCCTGTGCATATGGATAAGAAACAAGTACAAAGATCTTCACTACGGTATTATCTATAATTGTGAAAAAAAACTAAATGTTTATCAGTAGAGGAATGGTGAAATAAATTATGGTGCCACCATAGAATACTAAAAAGAATGAGGTTATTCTGTACACATTGATGTGGAAAGATCTCTAAGACATCATGAGAAAAGAGCAAACAACAGAACAGTATGTATCGAGAGACCCACTTACTAAAAAACATATATTTCTTTTTTTTTTTTTAAAGATTTTTATTGGGAAATTGGGAGGATGGGAACAGTGCTGGGGAATTGGGGAAAGGGGAACAGACAAGTTGCTGTCGTTTTGTTCTTCAGTCTAGTTGTGGAGGACGTTGCTTCACTGGCCCAAGTTGGCACCATCATTGCGCTCTTCTCTGGCGAGGCAGATCAGTCGCCGGCTTCTGGACGGCCGCTCATGGCGGCTGCTGGCCGCTCACGCTGGCTGCTGGCCACACACGGTAGCCCATGGCAATCCACTGCCACAGGGACTGCAGCTCACGCCGTCGCCGGCGACTCATGGCAGCCCAGCTCCAGGTTGAGCTGTTGTTCAGCATCTTAGCTGTGGAGGGCAGTGTCACTGGCCCTCATATGTGGGATCCGAACCGGGGCCCTCTGGCATCCCAAGCGAGTTCTTAACCATCGCGCCACTCGGCCGGCCCAACATATATTTATTTCTGTGAATACACATATAGAAATGCATAGGAAACAGAGTAGTTAGTTCTGGGAAAGGACAGATGGAGTGGGGGGGGGGAGAAAGTAGAGATGGGCAAGAAACTCCTATATTTTTACCTCTCATTTTAAAACTTAGAATGCATTCAGATACAGCTGATCCTCAGTTTGCAGATTCCATATCTGCAAGTACAACCAACCACAAGTCTCACTGTGACCCCCAAGTCACTCGTTGGGCACTTTGTGGTCACTTGTGGGTGGACTGCATGTGCAGAGTGGCACAGCTGCCAATCACTCAACACACATTTCTGGCTGACGCTGAACCAGGTGATGCTCGGCCTTGGTTCTGCTCTCAGACCATAAACAAGTGTCCTTCCTGTGGTCTTTTTATGCCTCGTTCTTCGCATTTTTGTGCTTTTTGTCGGTGATTGTGCTGCTCAAAATGTCCTCCAAGCCCAGTGTCTAGTATCCCAAAGGCAAGAAGGCCATGCTGTGCCTTTTAGAGAAAATACGTGTGGCAGGTATGCTTCGTTCATGCAGTGCTGCTGGCACAATTTATTATATATTAATATATAACTATATATATTAAGGTTATGTATTAATACATATTATTGATTTGATGTTAATAAAACAACGTATATTATTACATAAGGTGCCTTTAAACAGAAACACATAAATCTAGGTTATGTATTGACTGGGTAACAAAATGTGACCAGAGGCTGGCAGGAACCTAACCCAGTATTTCCCTCGGGGTAATGATCTAGCATGTACTAATCCAGCATTCATGGCAACTTTATAGACCTTAACTACAAATGAGAATCAAGTATATTACTAAAGTTAAAAAAAAAATAGATCAAGAGCTATGTTAGCCCGAGTCCTTTAAAAATAGAGCAATAAAGTCAGCAATGGGGTTACAGTGTCCTTTCAGCTCTCCCGTGCACTCAAATCCCACATCCGTCAGCTGCCTGCTTTTCATGGTGATGATACAGCTATCGGAACTTTTCTTAATTCACATTTATCTTCAAAAGGCCCCCCCAAAGAAATTAAAGAAGTCAGACTGAGTTACTACCGACACACGTGTTCATCCAAAATGATTCACGATTTTAGTCCATAAAGATATCTTGGACAGCTTGTACCTGCACCAATATGATAGCTACTAGCCGTATGTATCTATTATAAAATTAGGGGGGAAAAACACTAATTAAAGTCTTAAATTTACTGTCACTCTTTTAGTATAGGAAATCTTTTTAAGAAATGCAAACAGCAGACACATCTTTATTTTCAGGATCCAATACCTAATCATTTTTATCAGTTTCCAAATATTTTCACTAACCACCAAGGCCCACAGCGAACATTAGAGAATGCGATACATTTTATTTATAAGGACTATGGAGATCTAGCCCAAATATTGCCCTTTTTATGCCTTTCCCACTCTGGTAAAGTGACATCAGAAAACATGTTGCATTTTTCTAAAACACCCAAACTTCACACTGTAAATTAACCACAAACATGTTATAATCTTGACTGTGTATAAGAAAGAGCCTTTAGAGAAGAGCTGAGTTACGTTATTGCTATCCAACATAAGCTCACCAGATAATGTAGAGTAACCTGCAAGCTGCTTGAAAAGTTATCCTTAACATGAAGGCCCGTCAAAGGCAGCACAGAATAGTGGTTAAGAGCGTGGTAAGCTACAGAGCGAGCGTGCCTGGGTGCTGCATCCTTAGGGGAGGTACCTTCCCCTCTGTGCCTCACTTTCTTCATCTGTAAACTGGGGATAATAAATAGGATCTACCTCATAGGGTTGTTGGGAAGATTAAAAAGTTTATTCTTGCAAAAAGCTAAGAACAATGCCTGGCACACAGAGGTATTCAATAAATGAGTTACTGTTATTATTACTATTCAGGGGGTGTGCCGACAATACAAACAAAACACTCTGGCTATCACAGGTAATTAAACAACCAAGTATTCCTTCAATGGGGTGTACTCTTTAAAACTATGTTCTATATTATTTTTATACACATACTAGCAACATAAAGGCCCATGGGAGTTAGAAGACCATAGGAACAAATGGAAAACGTTCCATTTACTAAATTCCCAAGACTGCATTTCTGAAGTTATTGATCTATACTGGGCAACAAGTTATTTCCAATTAAAAATTACTAATTAATCAATAGTCCCACTGCTATTTTATTTATACATAAAGAACATAACTGGCTGGACTACACCCTACCCAAGGCAGCATGGTGTAATGAGGAGCATGGGTGTGGAAAGAGAGGTGCAGGTTTGACTTCCAGCTCTCCAGGCTCCTCATGCAATGACCTTGGGCTATCCAGGCATCTGAGCCAGTTTCCTCATCTGTAAACAGAACGATTCTGTTATCCACCTTAGAGCTGTTGAAAGCATTTACCCCTTGGGTACATTTGACGACTGAGACTCCTCATGAACTTGCTTTGCCTAAGACCAAGATGATGAGTCTAACTCATTATTCGATTTAAGACAATATTTAACATGTACATTCTTGTAGTTTGTATCAGTTGCAACAGAAGAAACAATTACAGTATTTCTGTGAAACTTGTTTGCAATACACTGTGCCATATGTCAGAAATAAGTAATATATTTTCTGAAAGTGATAACAAAAGTTTTAATGAAAGTGACTTTGGCAAAAAGAGAAAAAGCAAGGTGGCGATATCGAACATATAAAACCAGCACGTGTGCTTGAGTATAATAAAGGTATGGGAGGTGTTGATAAACAGGATCAAATGCTAGCATGCTTCCCTGTTATGAGAAAATATGTAAAGGGTTATAAAATGTTTTTTTTTAATCTAATAAACATAGCCTTTTATAATGCATGTTTTATAGTCTAAAATCAACTGCACCACCAAAACTGGCATTGTTTGCTTTCGTCGAGCTATTGCTGAACAATTATTGGAGCAAGTGTCATTGCCAAATTACAACTGTGGTGGACATCCTTCAAATAGTGATACACCTTTTTGTTTACAAGTGAAAAATTGGGCACACTTTCCTGAGAATATTCCATCAATTGAGTCCAAGGAACACCCTACAAAAAGGTGCAAGTGTTTGTCATAAACATAAAATTAGGAAAGAGACTACATGGCAGTGCAAACAATGCCAAGTGCCACTGCGTTTACCTACTTGCTTTGAAAAATACCATACTCTTCATAACTATTAGTAATTTGCTTTTTGTTATACCTTGAATTTATCTGTTTTAGTTTTGTGTTTTATTTATTTTTATTTTGTAATTCTAATTACCTGAAGTCATCTCAATACTGTGTCACTGATTTTTTAGAAATGAATTTTTACATAAAATCTACTGCTTTTACATATTACTCTAAGTGCCGAAAAATTAAATGTTCCATATGCAAATTTTTTTCAAATAAATTGGTACCCAAGGGGTTAAGGAAGATTATGTAGGATAAACAGCACAGTGCTAGGTGTTCCAACACAGACTCTCACTTACCCAAACCTAGAGAAAAGTAAGCAGGTTGTTTTCCCCTGCCCTAACCCAGGGCCCCGAATTCACTTGGTGGTACCTTGGTGCCCAGGTGAAAATAAACGCCCTCCACATGGCTGTCCTTAGAAATAGCAATCTGCAAAATGATGGCAAGCATCATATGCACTGTGATCAAAACCCATAAGACTTGAAGGGTATGGAGAGAATGAATGTAAATGCGTTCTAGGAAATCATATTCTTCTGCGTTGAAAGTCAGGTAAAATTTAGAAACTATATACCTTGTATAGTGAATATATGCAGTTCATTATTCCACAAAGTGGGACAGGCCGAAAGCATCACAAAAGGTATAAGTCAATGTATAGCTGGTAGAGAGCCACGATGAACTACCAAGAGAAGAAACACGTTTCTGGGCTATTCCTCACTTTGCAAAGTGTCAGGTAACTGCTAACTGGGTCTGCCAGTCACGCCACCTAACTTACCCGAAGCCCATCACTGCTCAGTGCTGTATTTGCAGCATCCCCCACAGCAGCTGTCTCAGGCCTTTCCACACTCCATATCCTCATGTCTGCCCAGAGTAGATAACCTTCCTTCCCACTTAAGAAAAAAATCAAGGTCATGCAAATGAAGCAACCTCATTTGCCTCCCTCTCCACCTGAAAACCTCTCTGAAGCTCAGTTCATCACCTCAAAATTTCTCCGTACCATCTCTTCCTGCTTTAAAGAAGATGAACCGCTCTTTCCAAAGCATAATCCTTACCCTTCATTTTAAAAACCAATCCCCTTCCCACCTTTTTCTTTAGATTCCAGTTACTCCCTGGACCAGTTAGTCAGAGTGTAGCCTTAGTATTTTACTGTTATATCAAAATCTCCTGAATTATATGGATGTCAGATCATTATGCTGTAGACCTGACACTAACATAATATTGAATGTAAACTGTAACTGAAAAAAATTTTTTTAAATCTCCTGGATGCGTGTGCACTGGGGGTGGGGGTGGGGGTGTGTTACTTGTTTAAAAATGCTGGTATCTGGGCCCCAGATCCACTGAATCAGATCCCCCTGTAAATGGTGCCAGCAATCTGCATTTTAAACCAAATCCTCTTGCTATTCTTGTGCACACTAAAATGTGACAACTGTCTACAACTTTGGATCTTTCTTCTCTCTCTACAAGATATGCCTGTCTTTATATAAAAGCCAAAACAAAACAAACTATACTTCGATCCGATGACTAACTGATTACCACACTGCCTCCCTCCCTTAGCTCTGTGGGGCACTTAACCTCACTATGCACTCACTCCTTACACCCTTTGTCATATGACTTCCACGCCATTGCTCCATGTAAGTTGTGCTTTCCAAGATCACTGTTGGACTCTCACTCTCTAAATCCAGGGCTCCTGCAGCCCTCACTTTCTTCAGCTTTTCTGAAGCATGTGACGCTGGTAGCTGCTATCTCCCTCTTCCTGGAACAAGCTCTGTCTTTGCTATCTCGAAACCACACTCCAGTTCCTCTTTTATCTCTGGAGCTGCCACTTTTGTTTAGTTGGTGTTTCACCGTAAATGTTGTAAATCCCAAGACTTTATTTTTTCCAGAATTTTAACCTCATCCTCCACCTGCCTGGGGTCCCATTGTTACTTTAAACACACAATGATTCTAAGTGGTTATACTCGTATAGATAAATAGGAAAGAAATTTGCTTTCTTTTACAAAAAAGTAATAATAAAAGCTGCTACTTATTATTAGCATTTATTATGTGCTAAATCATGTGTTATGGGACTTGTTTGTCCCGTTTAATCCTTATCACTGACAGAGATAAGTTTTATTATAATTAGGAAACTGATACGGTTAGGTGTGATTATGACTGGGGTTAGAAGCTTAGAGGTTAAATAAACTGCCTGTCACTAAGTGGTCAAGACAGGATTAAAACTGAGAGGAGTCTGACTTCAACGTCTATTCAGGCCACTATGCATAGTTCATTGGTGGCTCTATCTCTTATGTCAGGTGGGACAAACTAAAACCTGGATCAACACAACGGTCTCGTTTTCACATCTCTCCATCCAGGCTGCTGAACTCCGCTGTAAAAAAATACATAAACAGGAGGCTGAGAAGGAGGTAGGCTTAAGAGGAAAACCAAATGAAAATCTGATATTGTGGAAACCATGGGGAGAAAGCGTTTTCAAGAAGAAGTGGTCAGCGGTGTTGCCATGAGGAACGAAGATGAAACTGAAAAGTACATTGGTTTTCAAGTGATTGCTAATAACCCTGGTGAGAGAAGTTTTAGTGGAGTGCTCCGGTGTGAATCTCATTCTCGGTGGGCTGAGAAATGACTAGCAGGTGAAGTAAGAGAGCAGTGGAGATAGAATTTTGTCTGTGGAAGGGAGAGGGAATTTGGTTAAATAGAGCAGCAAGGATAAGAATAACATCAGACACCATGCAAGAAGAGAGTGGTGAAAGAAAAAACTACACTAAGTAGAATTCTGTCTCCAGTAAAATTACCCTTTAAATATGAATGAAAAAGACTTTCTCAGACAGAAAAATGAGGGAATTTTTCACCAGTAGACCTGCCTTGTAAGAAATATGAAAAGGTGGGTCAGAGAACAAACTGATGGTTGCCAGAGAGAACGGGACCTGAGGGGATGGGTGAAAAAGGTGAAGGGATTAAGAAGCACAAATTGGTAGTTGCAAAACAGTCATGGGACGTGAAGTACAGCATAGGGAATAGAACCAATAACATTGCAATATCTATGTATAGTGCCAGGTGGGTACTAGACTAATCAGAGGGATCACATCATAATTATATAAATGTCTAACCACTATGCTATACACCTGAAACTAATATAAAATAATACTGAATGTCAACTATAACTGATAACAAATACATAAAAATATTTGGACCAGGGAAAACTGTAATACATTAAAATGCATAATCTTTATTTAAAAAAAAAAAGAAAATTAAAAGAAATTCTTCAGAAAAAAGAAAAATAATATAGGTTAGAAATTTGGATTTACATAAAGAAAGAAAGCTCATTAGAGAAGGAATAAATGAAGGTAAAATCTTTTGTTTTCTTATTCATAATCTAATAGATATGTTTGTTCAAAATAATAGCAACAGTGATTCAGTGCATCACTGTATTCACAGTGATTACAGCTTGTGGATAAGTGAAATGAACTGCAGCATTGTTACAAGGAATGGAAGGGAGGACTTGGGAATTAATACACTGTTATAAGATAGCTGCACTGCCTGCTGAAGTGGCATAATGTTATTTGAAAGAGGACTTGGAGTAGTTGTGAATATATATTCACAACTCACTTTGTGAATTGTGAATATATATTGCATATATATTGCAAACTCAAGGTCAACCACTAAAAATGTTTTTTTAAAAGGTACAACACTGAACCGGCCCAGTGGCTCAGTTGGCGAAGAGTGCGAACTCTGAGCAACAGGGTCGTTGGTTCAATTCCCACATAGATCAGTGAGCTGCGCCGGAGCGGAGCTGCCGCTGAGCTGCCAACAGGCGGCAGGATGGCTCAGCTGGTGAGAGCACATGCTCCTAACAACAAGGTTGCCGGTTAGACTCCCGCATGGGATGGGGGACTACACCCACCCGCAACTAAGACTGAACTCGGCACCTTGAGCTGAGCGGCTGCGATCTGCCGATGGGCAGCCGGAGGGCGACTGGACTTGGAGCTGAGCTAGCTGCGCCCTCCACAACTAAGATTGAAAGCCAACAACTTGGCTGTTCCCCTTCCCCAATAAAATCTTTAAAAAAAAAAAGAAAGTACAACAGTTGTACACTGAACACTGCATAATGTTGAAATTAATGAAGATTTAAATAAATGGTAAGGAAAAAATAAATAATGGTAAGACATCCCATATTCATGGATTGGAAGACTTAGACAATACTCCCCAAATTGATCTACAGATTCAATGTGATCCTCATAAAAAACCCAGGTTTGGTGGGTTTTTTTTTTTCCCCTGGTGGTGGTATTACATAAGTTGACAAGTTGATCTTAAAATTCATATGGAAATGCAAGGAACTCAGAATAGCCACAAAAATCTTGAAAAAGAATAACAAAGCTGGAGGACTCACACGTCTTGTCTTCATGACCTATTATAAGCAACAGTAATCAAGATGGGATAGAAATGGCATAAGGACAGGCATATAGATCAATGGAACAGAACTGAGTCAAAAAGTAAACCCTAACATTTATGTTTAATTTATTTTCAATAATGGTGCCAAGACTATTCAATGGGGGAAAACCAGCCTTTTCACCAAATGGTGGTGGAACAACTGAATATTCACAAGTGGAAGAATGAATTTAGAGTCTGCACAATACATAAAAAAATTAAATCAAAATGAGCAAGAGAGCTAAACATAAGAGCTAAAACTCCTAGAAAAAAAACTTAGGAAAAAAAATCTTTGTGACATTGGATTAGGCAACAGTTTCTTGGCTATGACTCCAAAAGCACAAGCCACAAAAGAAACTATAGATAAATTGGACTTCAAAATTAAAAACTTTGTACAGCAAAGATACCATGAAGAAAGTGAAAAGACAACCCACAGGATGGAGGAAAATACTGGCAAATCATATGTCTGACAATAACTTGTATCAAGAACACATAAAGAGGGTCGGCTGAGTGGCTCAGTTGGTTAAGAGCTCACTCAAGAGTGCGAGCTCTGAGCGACAGCGATTCGAGTCCCGGCCCGAGCTGAGCAGCCGCTGAGCTGCCAGCAGGTGGCAGGATGGCTCAGCTAAAAAAAAAAAAAGGACACATAAAGAACTCTTATAACTCAACAACAAAAAGATAAATAATTCAGTTAAAAATGGGCAGATGATCAAACACACATTTCTCCAGAGAAGACACAGAAATGGTCAAAAGCATATGAAAAGATGTTTAACGTTATCAGTCATCAGAAAAATGCAAATCAAAACCACAATGAGAAACTACTTCATATCCACTCAGATGGCTGTAATAAAAACCAGAGATAATAACAAGTATTGGCACCCGGAATCTTCATAAATTGCTGGTGGGAATGTAAAATGGTATGGCCACTTTGGAAAACAGTTCCTCAGAAAGTTAAGGATACGACCCAGCAACTTCACTCCTAGGTGTAAATGCAAGAGAAATGAAAACATATGTCCACACAAAAATGTGTACGTGAATGTTAATAGTGGCATTATTCATAATAGCTAAAAGGTATAGGAACAACCCAAATGTCCATCAATTGATAAACATAATGAAGTTTATCCATACTGTTATTGCTGAGTGCTATTCAGCAATAAAAAGAAATGAAGTACCAATATGTGTTACAACATGGATGAACCCTGAAAACATTAAAGTGCAAGAAGCCAGACACAAAAGACTACATACGATGTAATTCCATTTATATGAAATCTCCAGAATACGTAAATACAGACAGAAAGCAGATAAGTAGTTGCTTAGAGGTGGACTAGTTGGGGGATGACAGCTAAAGGGCACAGGAGCTTTTTTTTGAGGTGACTGAGGTGATGGTTGCACAATTCTGTGAAAGTAAAAATCCACTGAACTGTACACTTTACAGGGATG